AATTTCAATTGATTCTCAAACTTTTCTTTCTAATTTTTTAGGTTTTACATTCAACGATCTCATTAGCTCTTATTTTATTTTGTATGAACATTTGGTTTTATGATGCCCAATAACAGGTTAATACATTTTTCTTCTTACACATTTTTTAGTCTTGTTTTGTTTTAGTCACTGTTTTTGTTTGGCCAATGCATTTTTGTTAACACTGGCATACTATTAGGTTTTCAAGATTTTACTCCAGGATAGCTATTTGATGATACTTTTGTTTAGTTGCATGAGGTTAGCAAAGATTTAAGATTTGCATTAGATTTATTAACTAAATTTAAAAACTAATTTAAAAAGTCTTGAAACCTGTATTCCTAACGATTTTTTAAAGTTTTGGGATCTATAGTAGGGGAAGACGGGGAACATTCGACCACTTAGCTGGTTTTTATTAATTTACAAATGATTTTTTACCAAAAACATTTAAATTTTTTTAGCATTGCTAGTAATGGTCTTAAACCAACAAATTAAAAAGATAATGTTTATAAAATATTAATTTTTGTTAAATTTACCATTGTTTTAAAAGTAAGCCTCAAAGTGGTTGAATGTACCCCAGCGGTGGGGTACATTCGACCACCTAGAGGGGTACTTTTAAACATTATTAGCAAAATTATAAATCTATAAGCTTCCTTTCTTATAAATGTTATATTGTACAATAAAAACTTTCCACAAAATATTTAAAAACAAATAGTAATAGCTCTTTTACAACAAGATTTGTGAAGTTATATAGAAATAAAAATAACATTGCCATTCTTTCCGTCTATGTTGGAGTCTCAGACTTTAAAAGCATTCTTTTTCAGGTTAATGACTTTTCTTCTTTTTTTTTTTCTTTTTCCAAATAAAGTTTTTCAATCTTTTTCTTTTCAAGAGTGTTAGCATAAATCGTTGACTTGATTTCCTCTTTATTTATTTTGTCTTTGAGAAGCTTTAGGCAAGGACCGCACATTTTCTGGAATCAGTTTTTAATTGTTAGAGTTATTCTAGTAGTTGCAGAAGGAATGCATTTCGTTAGTAGATAAGTGGTTAATTATTTTGTAATGGTGTACCTATTACCCCTAAAATTTCACTTGGTTCTCCCATTAGGGTTCTATTTGTGACATATCTGGGCATGAAATCTGTTTGCGGCTTGTGGTTCAGACAGTGAGTTATTGAAAATAATAGTAATTTTTTCTAATATAATATTTTCATTTCTTTTATTTTTATATGTTTTCGTTACATATTTTCAAGGCATTTAAAAGATAAGAGAAATAAATTATTGTGTTATTTTCAAACACCGGTTGAATGTTCCCCAGCTAGGTAGGTCGAATGTACCCCACACTTGTTATATATAAACAAATGGTGTTAAAAGCCAAAATCAATTTTTAAAGTAAACCAAACACAAAGGTTTTTAACTCAAGATATTAAACAATAAACAACAAAAAAGTTTAGGAGGTTAAAATTGGAAAAGAGATTCTCTGCGGGTTATTTAAAACAAAAAAATTACCTTTTGCATCAATAATTAGATTTTCTTCTATATAAGTACTAATACTAATAAAGATGGATTGATACTTATTTCACGCGATAGCTTATTAACAGGCAAAACATGGATAAAAATATTAAGTGGTAATTTTTATCATGTTGGGAAATATTTGAAAAGGTTGTATGTTCCCCATGCTTGAATGTTCCCCATCTTCCCCTAGTGATATAGTTGGCATAATTGCTTCATTGTTTGATGCAATTATTTCATTATTTGAGTGTCATTTTTTTATTACAATATTTGCAAGTTTTTGTAATTAATTTTTTTTTTGTATCCATTTTCAACAAATACATCTATTAGAAAACTGATTTCTTTATTTACAAATTTGTAAATAAAGAAATCAGTTTTTTAATAGATGTATTTAGAGCAAATTGATAAAGCTCTATGAATAAATTTAATAAATGTTCCTTCTAAGATTTTTGGATAATGATTTGAATTGGGTTTTACGTGAAATTTGTTATTGTTTCTTTAGCTTTTTGATTGTTGGTTAGTTAGATATTTAAAGTATTTAAGTTTTTTGTTTTTATCTTCCAACTTGATTGTGTATTTTATGGCATGATGTTGACTGTTTAATATTTGTTGAAAATGTATGTCACCACCTTTATTGATAATTTGTGCATGGCTATCATCTAAGTACATTAAAAATGATTTTATTTAATATGATAAATTTAGTAATATGATATGTTTTATTTTAAATAAAACATATCATAAATTTATCATATTATCATTGTGTGTGTGTGTGTGTGTGTGTATATATATATATATATATATATATATATATATATATATATATATATATATATATATATATATATATATATATATATATATATATATATATATATATATATATATATATATATATATATATATGTATATATATATATATATATATATATATATATATATATATATATATATATATATATATATATATATATATATATATCATGGATTTATTACATTGTAACAATATTTAAAATTTTGTTTCAAAAATTTTTATGCCAAAGCTAAACCAAAGCTAAAATGTTCATTTGAAGCTCACTTTAATGTTATAGGAATGTTTACATTTTTATTGAAATCTGTATTATTCAGTTATTTCAGCATGTCTGAGATGTTTTCACCCATAATAATAACATTTGTTAATTTATTTTGATATTTTATAGACTTTAAAGCCAGCCTTTTTCATCTAAAAGAAAGGTTTTAAGCATAAAAGTGATAGGATACTTAAAAATGAATTATTTTGTAGTGAAATGTTTAATTTTTAAAATAAATTTTAGTGAAAATTAAATCGAATAATTATAAACAGCAAATGGTTTTATTTTGGTAGCGAAGCAATGTTTGTGTTCAATAACTATCTTAAGATGAAATTAGAAGTTTTCTTCAGGTTATTCACTTTTTTTGTTTGTTTATATTTGTCTGTGCAAAGTTTACTTGCATGGCTATCCCTTGCAAGTAACCTCTGGGAGAAATATTTATGCTTAAAACATGTGTAAACTGCAATATTTAAACAATTTAAAGAATTATTTTTAATTTATTAAGTTAGTAAAAAACTATGTTAGCTTTTGACATTAGCAAAACTTTATGTAAAGATGATTGCTACAAAAAGTTATTTTTCAGCAAGTGTTACAATTTTTAGTAAACAGTAAATAAGATAATAGTTAAATATATATTATTCAATATAAAAAGACTGTGAAGAATTTTTTATTGCAGTTTTGCAAATTCTTAAAATATTGAAAATATTTTATAATAAAAAGTATTTCCAAACTTTATATATAAATAATTGCATAGAAAGTATAAATATTTGTTTTTGAATTTATTAGGGAAAACAGTTTTATTCATTGATATGATTAAAAAGTTATCAGATTCATGGAGGCAACAAAAGCAAGGATTGCCTGATCACAATCAAGACTTACTGTTCAGTAAAATACAAAATAAAAATCCAGAGCAACCAATTGACAATTTTCAAATAATATCTCCTGTCATATCTGACAAAGTCAAAAAAAAAGCTGAGGTTTGTTGATTTTTATTAATTTGATATATTCAATTTATAGAAAAGATAGATTAAATATAAAATTTTATTAGCATCAAATCAGAGATTGAAATAGCTGAAAAATTTGACTCTTATCTGAAAACAAAAAACAAAAAAATTTATAAACATGTTGATGTTATTTACCCTAAGCCACAACTATTTAAAGTGCTGTTTAATATAAAAAAAAAAGAAAATTTAAAAATGTAATTAAATTTTTTAGATGAAAATTAATTTAAGATAAAAAGTTGTTTCGTGTTACCACTCCACCAACTTTAACATATACCTTATCTACCTTAATCTTTATGCAATACTTCATACAGTACTTTGCTTAATATATAAGTGATTAGAAATGTTTATAGTAAAAATAAAACTGTTTGTTAGATTAATAATTATCATTAATAAAACCAATTATTAGTTTAAAATGTTTATCAACTTTAAACACAGTTACTGATAATGAAATGAAGCTTAATCTCCTTATATATTAAATAATAATCATATTGAACCTAATATGTATCAGTGTATTTCATAAGTTTGAGTAAGCAATATGTATACTTGACTCTATATAAAACCAAAGAAATATTTGCCAGACATATTTTAGCTAGATGTAAGCAAAAATCTGGCAAATTGATTGACCCTTTCCTAAACAAACTAAAGTATCTAAAGAGTTCCTAAATAATCTAAAAACTGTAAGTTTAGCACTGTTAACACAGAGCAGTACAAATCTAAAATGGTCTGTGATGCTTTTTTAAATGGTTTGCTTTCTAACATAATACACCAACGTTTATTAGAAAACAAGACATTAGACCTAACATCATTGACCAACAAATATCAAACTTCTCAATCAACTATATTGATCTTCGCTAACATTTCTTCAGGAAATAAATTCATTGGCAAAAACCATCTACAAGTAATACCATTATTCAGGCTTGGTCAGGAAGCGGGAGGAATACTGACCACGGAAGTTATATTTAGTTGCAAAAAACGTTTTTTATTCATTTTGAGAACATTTAAGTTTATGTATTTCAGTTAAACAAAATATTTTTGTTTTATGGAAATACATAAACTTAAATGTTTTTAAAACGACTAAAAAACGTGGCCAGTTTTTTGACATACATGAAAACATACATGAACTTGAATGCTCTTAAAACATCTTGGTGCCGAAGAATAAAAAGTTAACACTAAAATCCTGCCAAATTTATGAACAAACTAATTCTATTGGTTCAAAAAATACACTGACTAAGCGAAATAATGTTTTCAAAATTGTATCATTCAAGATTTGTTAAGTTTTAAGATTTCTAGCATAAATTGTTTTAAGAATATATTATCAAACAAACTATTATTTTAATACTATAGCTCATTCTTAGAGCCACATCTGCAAAGTCGTAAATCTTTTTAGCTATTATTATTTGTTTACAAAAATAAATTTTTATAATATATATTTTTTAAATCGTCAAAATTTTGAAAGTTTATTATAAATTATAGATTTTACTAGTTTATTTTTATTTTTTATTTAAAAATTATGTATTTTTATGTAATTTTGTGTTTCTGTTTATATTCTAATGTAATATTTCAAAGCAGTTTTTACTATTTATTTTGTAAGCATAAAGACTTTCAACAATAATTGCATTTCAGTTATAATCATCAAAGTTGATAAAACTAATTATGAAATAAACATACAAAAAGTTTCTGGTTACTGGTTACTAAACACAAACATGCATACAAAGTAACTCACAGATGAACAAGCAACGCATATGAGGTCATGACAGGACACAAACATATATATATATGTATATATATAGATATATATATATATATATATATATATATATATATATATATATATATATATATATATATATATATATATAATATATATATGTATTCTCGAGTACTTAAAAGAAGTGGGTGGGGCGGATGTTTATAAATTAATTTTTAGAAAATTTTCCCATCCACCCTTAGCTTATTTCCCCCCCCCCCCATCCTTTATTAATTTTACTTGCTATCAACAAAAAAATTATTTCTTAAAATTAAAAAAAAATTTTAAGTTAATATCGGCCTTATAAACTAAAAAACATTTGAGTAACTGATAAATATTGAAACTTTTAGACTAAAATTCCCATCCCCCCTTGTATTAAGGACTCGAGAGTAGCAGGCCTTAATGTTTCGTCCTCTAGGACTCTTCAGTAATGTAATGATTTTATGGGACTAAATCTAAGCAATAAAACTAAAAACTGTTTTGTGCACGCACTACAGAGTGTTGGGCAAACAGCAATGATGCATCCCTTAAGGAAAGAGCTCAACAAAACTTCATATTAAGGAGCTATATCCAACATTAGACAATATTGTTTCACAACACTAACATAAATACATACATAAAGTGACTTTCGAGTGGATCAGCACCGCGCCAGAGGTTGAGATAAAACACTAACATACATGAGCGAAACAAAAGCATATACAACAAAACACAAACACAATTACATACATAAAGTGACTTATGAGTAAAGAAATGTAAAATAAAATGTTTATCCTTCCGATTCAGATGTTGAACTTAAATCTTTACTGTAGCTGCTTTTGTCCCTACTATAATCAGTGAAATTGCTACCATTAGCTGAATCAAGGCTATAAACTCTTTGCTTATTTAAATAGATATCCCCAGCGCGACTCTTAATATCTTCTCGTTCTTGGTAAGTGAAATTCTAGTCATTCCCTGCTATTATTATAGAGTCTTTTATTGTTGAGTGGTTCATCTTTAAACGCCGATCAGTCAGTATTACAGTCAAAATACTGAAAATGCGTTCGACAGCGGAATTAGAGCCAGAAATAAACATCATAAGTTCAACTAGAAGACAAAAGTTTGGAAACTTGATTCTATGATAAAGGAAAAAATTCTGCCACATTTCCAGTGGTGTTAGTGCAATGGTGTACTGAGTATTTGTTACTAGTTTTGCAGCTTTCCATTCTGAAAGAACCATTTTAAAATCTATTCCTGAGGGTAAAGGAATTCCTTTAGTAATAAAGATATGCTGACATCACCATACATGTTGTCTGCTGTCCATAATTGTGGATCTAACCAATCCATTGATTCAAATATTGGATTTAACAGCAAACTAAATCTATCATTTATCAATGGGTGAATGATGTCAATTGCAAATTTTCTTAATTTAATGGCAGAACTAAGACATTCCAAGTTAAGATTAGCCATGTTGCCGAGCTCAATCTGAACAAACTCTGGATTCGATTTTTCCAATTCATGGCCTTCTTTGAAATATGAAGAAACAAGATTTGTTGTACCATCTTTTTCATTGATTCTAAACTTTAGTAAATATGAATCAATAATATCATCGATACCTTCATTGCCTAATTTGTCTAAGCTAGCCTTAGTTACATCCACTGCTGGTTTTAATTCATTCACCATTAACATTTTCTTTTCGAAAACCAAAGATAACGGAGATAATTTTTCTAAAATATCCAAATAACTACAAACTATACATAATAGCCTGTATTCATGCAACTGTTTGGATATCCCAGAAATTATAGCACGCATATCTGCTTTGGTGTTGCAATCCGCAAAAGCGTTTTCAAAGCCCGCAATAAGCAAAGGCCAGTTATGTAATAGTTTTGTAAAACCGCGTCTCCTGTGACCTATAAATCGCGTTCCCAATATTTTAGGCAAGGTTTAGTATGTAATATTCAAAGCCTCAGCAGCTTTTTTAAGCATGCTTTTTTACATTTCCATTTTTACATTTCACTAAACATCATCTGCGGTATTTGTGAAGCAGTTCCTCTTCATAAAATATTTTTAACTTTTTTAGTTGGTTTTTATCTATTTAGTTTAATTTCTACAGTAACTCAATAATTTAACTATTTTATTTGTTTATCTTACTAAGAAGAATTGTTTCAAATATGTTAAATTTTTTAAACTACATGAAGCATAAAATAGGTATTAAAAAATTTAACTTTATTATTTATAAAATAATTTAGCTTAAATAAAACTAAAACTAGTGTTAATTTTATTAGAATCTTGTTGGACTTTTCGGGGCTTAGGGCTATTTTTCTTGTGAAGGCCTTTTTTATGTGCCACAATGTAAAAATGACATGAAAAAGTTTTCTGAAAAATTTTGGGGCCCCTAAAAATGCAGGGTCCTCCTTAATCCAGCACTGAAAATATGACATGAGTTTATAAATAAAAATTATATTATACTCTTTGATAAATAAAAAAACATTTTGTTTCATTATAAAGAAATTGTTAGGTTTTACTATATATAAAAAATGTAGCTAAATTTTATAAAAAAATTATAAAAGAGCGATGCTTCAAAAATATTAGTTCTAAATGTAATTTATTTTGCTATAAGTTTTTTCGCGTTAAAACTTATATTCTTTTCTTAGTTTTTTTGTTTTTTTGTCTCATTGGTCCAATAATCATTTCTGCGCTTTTTTGTTTGTTTTTGAAATGTTCTCAAAACAACTAAAAAACCTGGCCAGTTTTTAGCAACTAAATATAATTTCCGTGGTCAGTATTTGAGAGCGATCGCTCCCGCTTCCTAACCAAGCCTGATTATTCATACCAGTAATCATGTAGCTGCTACAGTAAAGTCAAAACAGTTGTGTTGGTTCTGTAGAGATATACAACATCCACGTACCAAATGTCCTACTTGTGAAGCTACCTGTCATAAATGTAAAAAAGGTTTGTGATTTTAAAAAAGTTTGTCGATCTTCCAATTTCTCAGCAGCAATGTTTAAAATTGAGGATAATTACTTCTGTTGCACCATCTCAGTCTCAGCCAATTCTCTCTTCTGAATATGCTGCAAAGTTACTATTAATGACTATATATAATGAAAATATAAAGCAAAAGCCTTGATTGAAAGTGGAAGTACAAGTATTAAACTAGAAATGATAATAAACTAGTATGTTTACTCAATTTAGAAGTTATTTATGAAAAGAATATGAATGGAATGGGATCAGCATCTTTGTCAGCAAAAAACAGATGGACATTGTTTCAATAGCTCTTTTGGTTCTTATAATTAACCAGATATTATGTTGGCTCAAAAGAGCTATAATTGTATTAGTCTATAAAAGAAAGAAAAAATAGTACATAATACAATAGCAGTTGTGTACCCTCATGGTCGTCCTGTGGCACAGGACAACTCGTTTTTTACAAGGTGACTGAAATTTAGAAAATATTTTAATAGCCTGGCAGTAGGACCGGACATTTTGTTACTTACTTATATGTGTGTATTAATAAAATCATTTTTGATCTATGAACAGGCTTGGTCGGGAAGTGGGTGCGATCGCACTCGATAATTGACCACGGAAATAATATTTAGTTGCGTAAAACCGGCCAGATTTTTTAGTCGTTTTGAGAACATTTCAAAAACAAACAAAAAAGCGCAATAAGATTAACTGGACCGTTGAGAGACAGTTAAAAAAAGAAAACAGCTTTTAATGAAAAAAAACTTTAAGCAAAAAAATAAGATTAAAGCAAATATTTTTGAAACGTGGTTCTTTTATTTTTTTTTACAAAATTAGGCAACATTTTTTATATAAAGTAACAACTTACTATTAATAATTGTTTAATAAGGAAACAAATGTTCTTTAATTTATCAACGAGTATATAATTTCCAGTGCTGGATTGAGGAGGTCTTATTTCCAGTGCTGGATTGAGGAGGTGGGGGAGAGGGGGATGGAATAGAAGGGCTATAGCCCTGGGACTGACAATGTTAGAGGCTACGAAATAGTCAAAAAGACCATTTGGTCCATTTTTTTTAGTTATTTTTACGCTGTGGCACATAATAAATGCCACTAAAGTAATGCAGCCTGCAGCCTTGAAAAGTCATACAAGATTCAACCAGTAAAACTAACGCTAGATGATTTATTTATAAGTAAAAAAGTTTTTTTAATAACTGTTTTATGCTTCGCATAGTTTGAAAAGTTTAACACATTTGAAACTATTCTTTTTAGTAAGATGAACAAATGAAATAATTAAATCATTGAGTTACTGTAGAAATTCAATTAACTAGATAGAAATTAACTAGAAATGTTAAATTACTTAGTTAGGAGGAAGCAGAACAGCTTCCCATTACCGCTGATAATGTTTAGTGAGCGGGCTTTATAATTTTAATTAGTATTTAAAACAGAAAAGAGTTAACTATAACGAGTTTGTAAGAATGGCTGAAGCAAAAATAATTGAAGTTAGTTAACTAATTTCTAAGAACTTAAAAACTTTTCTTTCTAAAAACTTAAAAACATAAATTTAAAACATTTATTTTTGCAAACAATTAATGATAGTTTAAAACATCTATAGCTTTGTAGATGTGGCTTCGAGAATGACATAGCATTAAAATAAAAGTTTGTTTGATAGTATTCTGTTAAAACAATTTATGCTAGAAATCTTGACAAAAATATAACAAAACTCAAATAATACAACTGTTTAAAATAATTCAACAGAATACTCTAGAACATTTGGTTAGTATTTTTTGAATATTCTAGAAATTTCCGCTAGTATTTTTTGAACCAATAGAATTAGTTGTTAGTAGATTTGGTGGGTTTTTTGTGTTCGCGAATATTCTTTTTTTTATTATTCCGCACAAAGTTTGAGAACAAATGAGTTTATGTATGTTTCCGTGTAAGTCCGTAATACAAAATAATCTGGATTAATTAAAAATTATTTTGCGGACAAACAAGGAAACATACGTGAACTTGAATGTTCTCAAAACGACTAAAAAATCTGGCTATTTTTCGCAACTAAATATTATTTCCGTGGTCAGTTATCGAGTGCGATCGCACCCGCTTCCCGACCAAGGCTGTATGAAGATTTTATTCCTTGCGATTATTTAAATATATACTTTAAAAAACATTTAAAGTAGTTTATCTTTGTTTAATACTGAGTACACAACAGTGCGTTATATAGTTTTACTAAACTTGTTAAAAGAAGCTGAAATGAGATTTAATACTTCAAAGTGGGACTGTAGTATTTTTTTTAATGTTGTTGCATTTTGAAGCATGACATACATCCCTAAAATTGTTTATGAGAGAAATTTATGGCTCTTGCAAAAGAATATTTTTTTCTCAAAAAGTATAATTATCATTGTAAATAAAATTAAAAAAGGCAGTCATTTTTAAAAATAAAAAATAAACTATTTTCATAATAAACTAAAATGCTCTTTAAAAGGCATGGTTGTTGCAAACAACCATGCCTTTTAATGAGCATTTTTTCATGCTGCAATAAATGACTCTTGTTATGTATATGTTCTTGTAATATTAACATAACAAACATATGCTTGCAGGGCATGATGAATCAACGAACGTGCAAACGTTTGTTAAAAATAAGACTAAAATCTAAAACACATTTTAAAGACTTTAAAGGAAACCGTGCTATAACACAATTACTTCCTTCAATAGTGTTACTTTTAAGTAAAATATCTAAGTATCGAAGAAAGTAATTTAATTCAACTAAGTACGTTATCGAAAAAAGTAATGTTTTAGCATGGTTTTTGCATGGGTTAACAAAAGCATGCAAAATTTTACTTTAAATGAATGCAATTACAATAATTTTAAAAGAAACCATGCTTAAACATAACCATGCTTAAATATTGCTTTTTTCTATAGTGTGATTTTTTTTTTAAATTTTCTTATTTTTTTAAAAGTGAAGTAATGTTTGCATTAGAAACACTTTAAAAAAGTTTTGAAAAGAATTTTTAAGTTTTGCTGAAATATATATAATCTAATATATAGAATTATATAGAATTATTATGTTTATTATAGTTTACATTTTTTGTGTGCGTTTAACGACGTCAATAGTATGATATTTTTATTAATGTATTATTAAATACTTAATATGATATTATTTTTTAAAGTTTAAAAAAAGAAATGTCAAAACAATTTTTATTTTATTTTTAGTTCCTTTTGTTTTAATTTCTTCAAGTTAATACTTTTTTTCATTTGTAAATAAATTTAGCAAACTAAATTCAAAAAATTCATTATTTAGTATCAATAGATAACAATTTGCAAATATTTGGTCATTGGATATTAATTATCATTAATTTGTGCGCACTTTGCAAATGTGCAAAGAATTGTTTTGAAAAAATAAAAGTTAATTAATGTCAATAAGCGTCTTTGATATGTCTAATAACTTGTTAGCTAGAATAAAAATTGTTTGAAAATCAAACTTCCTTATATGAGATATATCTCTTTAATTAAATAAAGAAAGGAATGTCAATGTTTACTAAAAAAAATAATTTATTGCTCCCTAAGCTTGTAAGAAGTATAAAACCAAAACTTTGTATTTAATAAGCAATTTTTTTAATGAATAAACAGATAGCTTGCGCAAAAATCAAAAGCTCTTGTAATTAGCTGTTTAGAGGAGCAGCACTTATGGCTGGCCATATTCATTTTAAGAGAGCTTTTCTCCGCTCTTGCACTCATTTACTCCTGGCTGAATCAATAAAAAGATAATTTAAACATTCAACTTGTATTTATAGTTATCTCTTTGACAATATCTCTTTGTAACAAAAGTTACTTAACAATATTTTTTAACAGGTTATAGCGTTTTACTTTTTTTTATTAATTAATTTACTTTTAATTAAACCTTCTTTAATTAGATGTATTTAAGTAGTGTATATATATATATATATATATATATATATATATATATATATATATATATATATATATATATATACATACAATATATATATATATATATATATATATATATATATATATATATATATATATATATATATATATTATATATATATATATATATGCAAGGGTTGAATTAAACGGTAGCGAAATAAAAAATCCAGAAAAATATCTGGTCTTCAAAATTTTAGTTAAAACAATACCATGTTTTTTGTTTTCAAGGAGCAAATCAACTTAAATTTGTTAGCAAATGAGTTAGAAAAAGTAAAATTATAAACTTACGACTACAAAAGTAATAACACTCTAGTAACTAACAGCATTATAAAAGTAATAACACTTATATAACGCACTTTTAACTTTTATAATTCATTCTTTGTTCAAACAACATAAGTACTGTTTTTGAGATCTTATTTATTAGGGGCAACCAACCATTGTTCATTTTTAATGAAAAAATCAACAGTAGTTTGGTTGCCCTCCTTTAGCCGGTCTCAAGAATGGTCCGAGGGGCAGTGATGTCCAACAGTTAAATTCAGCCCTGTATATATAATTAATCCCTTAAAAAAAAGTAAACAATTTTAAAGAATTATTTTTATAACAGTGTTAACATATTCTACAAATGTGTGAGATATTACAGTAGTTAAGATATTTATGACTTCTTATAATTTAACTTTTGGTATTAATAATTGGTATTAATAATAATAAAGTGATTTTTTATTAATTTATTATTGCTCTGTTCTTTTGAGAACTTTAAGCCCTCTAATTTGTAGAATACATTTAAAATTATTTGTGTGTGTGTGTGTGTGTGTGTGTGTGTGTGTATATATATATATATATATACATGTATATTTGATTAGATTTCAGGCATTTCCTTGGTTGATTGGGACTGTGGTGATTCCATACTGTTAAATGTAAATAAAGAGTGTGATAAAAGTTTTTATTCAAATTTGCATGTAGAATCCTCATTTTCACACACAATAAAACACAAAAATGCCACTGACTTGGTTTGTATACAAAATGAGGCTTCGTTTCTTCACAACAATACTAGTTGCAGTTTATTAGACTTCGACCTTCCAACAACTGTCATAGAAAAGTACAAGAAAAATGGCATTGAAAGTTTGTTTTTATGGCAAAAAGAATGCCTGTTGACTGGAAAAGCTTTAGAGGGTGGTAGGTATCCTTTTTTTTTTAATTATTAATGCACGTACAGGACTTCTCAGGAGATGCTTGTGGTCGCACATCTTGAATGACCACGCATATATATTTTTTTGTTGATAACATGGCCACGATTTTTTTTGCATTTATTAAAAATGACGCATTTTAAAAACACGCTGAAAAAACAAAATTAATTGCTCATCTTTTTTTAATTATTATTAATAATTCATTATTATAGTTATTAATGAGAAAATAAAAACATTAAAATAACATATATGGGCAATTCCATTTTTAACTTATGTTACACACGCAACAACTTTATCAAATCAAGTGTCAGGTCAGGAGTATGGTCTTCATGATCATCCTGCTACTGGTAACATGTAACCCAGTGCAACCTGTTCCATGTTCTGCTGCCTTGCAGGATTTGCTATCTAAGCAAAGGCTGGAAGGAGTGTTCTTCCTGTCATCAGTACTATCTTATATCAGTCATGCCTATAGTAATTTTTTTTTTTTTTTTTTTTTTCATATAGTTGGAGGTGCCTTAGTAACTGTATTAGCTCACCTGTAATCTACGTTATATGTATGTTTGTGTTCTGTCTGAACCTCTGACGCGGTGTTTGCTCACCCGTAAGTTACTTTATGTTCTTTATGTATGTCTGTGTTCTGTCTGAACCTCTGGCGCGGTGTTCGCTCACCCGTAAGTTACTTTATGTTTATGTTTATGTTTTTTTATATTTTTTTATGTATGTTTGTGTTCTGTCTGAACCTCTGGCGCGGTGTTGACTCACCCGTAAGTTGATTTATGTTTGTTTGTGTTCTGTTTATACTCTAATGCAGCGTGAGCTCAGTAATTAACTACTTACTCCAACTACAAAACCTACACTCACCTTAGACTCCTGTATTTTGTTAGATGCAGTGTTTTTCCTAATGCACTTCCAAAATTTCATGCCTGGTTTTCTCAAAGTACTGTTGCGGGAAATAACTCCTTTTAACTACTCCAGGTCAGGTCAGGATAATCGAGATCAATCTTGCTACTGGTATCACGTAACCCAGTACCACCTGCCACAAGCCCTGCTGCCTTGCAGAGTGTGCTCTTCTTATGCAAAGGCTAGGAGAAATAAACTCCGACTAAAAATTCCCCTGCCTTGGGGCTCTTGGTTGAGTAAAGGCTAGAGATGGTGTCTCGATAAAAACACTCATCTTGGGCAGATGTTAACTGCGTCCAGCTAAACATCCCCTGCCTTGGGGCTCTTGGTTGAGTAAAGGCTAGAGATGGTGTCTCAATAAAAATACTCATCTTGGGCAGATGTTAACTGCATCCAGCTACTGTCTTGTAGAAGGCCTCCTAGGCAAAGACTTTAGGGGTAAGCAGAAAAATTCTGCTAACCAGCCTCGAACCCCTACTTTATCTATTAGGCTGGCGTAGATGTAACCTGTGTTACATTGTTTCCTGCCTAGGATGATGAATGCTGGATCTCCTTGACTCTACTCATAGAATTTTGCTTATGTCTCCTTGATAATGGCTATGCAACTCTTCCTGTTATCGCCTCCATATGAGGGTACAGCTCTAAAACTCAGTTTAATGGTTCTGAGGCCGGCTGGTAGTAAGGTTTCCCAAACTCTGTGGTAGCTCTCAGAGAGGCTGATTCCATCAACAGCTGCAAAATATCAGAGTATTAACAGTGCCATGTTGCACATGGATGGTGTCCCTGTTAATGCTTTTGGTGTGCATTGTCAAGGCCACATAAGGAGCCCTATGTCATGGCTTAGGGTTAATTAAAAGGACTGAGACAACTGCATAGCTCATTGATTAGGAGGCTGTGCTCTATCTATGAATGAGTCTAGTTCTCATTAAACCCAAATCATGACCAAAGTAACCAAAAATTTAAAACCTAAAAAACCATCCCCACCACCTAAATATTTTAATATATCTTTTACAAATATTCGCGGTCTACGAAGCAACTTTCCATCAGTTGAGTCTTACCTCCTGCAAAATTCACCAGACTTGCTTGCACTCAGTGAAACAAATTTAAATTCTGCAATTCCTTCTTCAGATGTCAGTGTTGATGGGTACTATCCTTTGATTCGTAAAGGCTCCAATAGTCACATGCTAGGTTTAGGGGTATACATACGCATTAATTCCCCTATTTGTCGTGAAATCAGGTTTGAATCCTTTGACCATTCTTTTATGTGTTTTCGCCTAGCACCTCTTCACTCTATCACCTTTCTCTTTGTTCTTTATCGTTCTCCTTCTTCCCATGATTGCACTCTCTTAGATGTTATCTCTGATCAAATTGACCATGCCCTCTCTCTTTACCCCTCTGCCAATATTGTTGTTGTTGGTGATTTTAATGCCCATCACACTGAATGGCTTGGCTCTAACACCACTGATCCTGCTGGCACTAAAGCCTTTAACTTCTGCGTTTCTCAATCTCTTACTCAGATAGTTAACTTTGTGACTCGTTTTCCTGACAACCCTAATCATTTACCTTCACTCCTTGACTTATGTCTTGTCTCTGACCCTAGCTTATGTTCAGTTTCTCCCTTTTCTCCCTTAGGTGGTTCTGACCATGCAATGATCTCTATAAATCTTTCTTCTCGTTCTTCTTTTTTGGGCTCACCTTATCATCGCACCACCTACTACTACCCTAAAGCTGACTGGGATTTCTTTCGTGATTTTCTTCGTGATGGTCCTTGGCCTGATGTTTTTTCTCTCTCAGCTGACAAATGCGCCTCCTATGTAACCTCCTGGATTCAGGCTGGAATGGAAGCTTTTATTCCTTCTCGTCGGTTTCAAGTCAAGCCTCATTCTACTTCATGGTTTTCTCCTTTTTTTGCGGCTGCTATATCCAATCGTAATCATTTTTTTCATCTTTTTCAAAAGAACAACTCTCTTGAGAACAAACGGCTATTTATTATTGCAAGAAATCGATGTAAAAAGGTGCTTTCTGATGCTAAACTCCATTATTCTCAGTTCACTAAATCTCGCATCTTATCACAGAAGTTAGGCTCTAAAGACTTTTGGAAAATCTTCAACAGCATTGTTAACAAGGGTAGATCTAATATTCCATCTCTCATTCATGGGACTGATCTTATTACCTCTCCTAAGGATAAGGCAGAACTATTTGCAAAGAACTTTTCTTCTAATTCCACTCTTGAATCTTATGGACATTCTCTTCCTTCCATTCCAGTCAAACAGGTTGACCCATTGTTAGACATTCAAATCACTCCGGCTTCTGTTGCTAAAGTCATATCTCAATTAAACTCGTCTACAGCTTGTGGTCCAGACAACATTCCTGTCACAGTCTTGCAGAATTGTTCTCCAGAATTTTCTTCAATTCTCTCTAAACTATTTAACAAGTGTTTGACTGAGTTTTTTTTTCCTGCTTGTTGGAAAATGTCATCTGTGGTTCCAATATTCAAAAACTCTGGAGAAAATTCTGACCCCTCCAATTATCGTCCGATCAGTCTTCTTTCTGTTATTAGCAAGGTCTTTGAAACTTTGATCAACAAATTCCTAACATCTCATCTTAAGTCAAATAAACTACTTTCAGACAATCAATACGGTTTTCGATCCTCTTGCTCTACAATCTTAAAGCGATCTTAGATCATAGAGCGATCTTAGATTGTAGATCTAAGATCGCTTAGATCGTAGATCGTAGATCTACTATCTAAGCGATCTAATCTACTTATCGTAGATCTAAGATCTAATCTACTTAGATCTAATCTACTTTTAATCTACTTATCGTAGATCTAATCTAGATGTAATCTACTTATCGTAGATCTAAGATCTAATCTACTTACAATCTAATCTACTTAGATTGTAGATCTAAGATCGTAGATCTACGATCTAAGATCTACGATCTTAGATCGTAGAGCGAGAGGATCTTTTGATCCTCTCGCTCTACGGCTCTACTGCTGTAACTGAAAGATTTTATCGTGCATTAGATGGAGGCGGTGAGGCTAGGGCTATTGCTCTCGACATATCTAAAGCTTTCGACAAAGTTTGGCATGCTGGTCTTCTCCATAAGCTTGCTTCATATGGTGTTTCTGGGAAAGTTTTTGAGATTATCAAATCATTTCTTTCTAACCGGTTTATTAAAGTCATCCTTGAAGGCCAACACTCTTCTTTATTTCCAGTAACTTCTGGGGTTCCCCAAGGTTCCATCCTGGGCCCTGTTTTGTTTCTTATCTACATAAACGATCTTCCTGACAACCTTTCATCTAAAGTAGCTCTTTTTGCTGATGACTCAACTTTATACTCCTGTCTTGACAAAAAGTCTTCTCTTTTCGATCGCCTAGAACAAGCAGCTGATCTTGAATCCGATCTCACTTCAGTAATAGATTAGGGTTCACAGTGGCTTGTGAATTTCAACTCTAAAAAAACCCAATTGCTTACTGCAAACAACTACCGTAGTATGGTCAACATTCCTATATTAATGAATGGCAATCCTCTTACTGAGTCCTCCTCTTTACGTCTTCTTGGATTATCGCTTACTACTGACCTTTCATGGAAACCGTATATACAATCGATTGCTAAATTAGCTTCTGCTAAGGTTGCTTCTCTTTATCGTGCTCGCCATTTCCTTACTTCTGATTCCATTCTCTACCTCTACAAATCTCTTATTCGTCCCTGTATGGAATACTGTTGTCATATTTGGGCTGGTTCTTCTAACGATTCACTTTCTCTTCTTGACAAGGTCCAAAAACGCATTGTAAATGCTGTTGGACCTGGACTATCTGCTAAGCTTGAATCTCTTTCCCATCGTCGTAAAGTTGCATCTTTTTCTCTTTTCTACAGATACTATCATGGTCACTGCTCAAAGTAGTTATCATCTCTAGTTCCATCAACTAAAATTCATTCTCGTTTTACTCGTCATTCAGCTAATTCTCATTCGTTTACTGTATCTGTCCCTGCATGCTCTAAAAACTTTTATTCATCTAGTTTTTTTCCCCGCACTTCAATCCTTTGGAACTCTCTCCCATCTTCATGTTTTCCTGACTCATACAACCTTCAACTTTTCAAGTCTTCTGTCAACAGTTTCCTTGCTCTATAACTCTGTTCTTTTTTTTTTTTCCTAGTAACTCCCAACTTAATAGTGGTTGCTTGCAGCCTTGTTGGGAGTGAATGCAAATAAAAAAAAAAAAAAAAAAAAAAAAAAAAAAAGTTTGCTTATTTAAACTTTTAAATTAAACTTTTAGCACTTTTGTATGAAAGCTGTTAGTCTAATAAATAAAATAAGCTTAAAAGTTTTGAGTTCGGCCAAAAGAGAGCAAACTTATTACTAAAAATGCCACTTGCACTTATGATATACGGAAAACAAGGTAAAAAAACAAATTCAACTTATAGGTCTCATTTCTACGAATCAGTAAAGCAGTTTGTATTAGAAACTTTTACAAAATGCAGATAATTCTATACCAATTTAAAATTTTTATAAAAACTTTTTAAAAATAAACTTGTTTTTTTGATACTGTATTTTTACTTAAAATACATCACTAACATCTAGCGGTTATCATGATTTTTTTTATCTATTATTAAGAGTTAGATTTACGTAACAAAAGAATTGCATAAGTATTGAACTCATTCATTAAAAATAATTAACAAAGAAATTTTTTTAAAACTGGTGGCACTCTTCCTGAGTGATTTTTCATAACATTCATGAAAGTTATCAAACCGGAAATAGTTTTTTTGCAAGGCTAAGAGCAACTTCAGAAAAATATTTTAGTTTTACATCTTTATTATTACTTAATTGAGTCATTGGTTTGTCGAGATTTTTATTTACACTTCTTATGTTTATGCGTATTGCTTTATTTTGATAAGATTGAATTTTTATAATGCTGCTAAGTTAAATTTTTAAATATTTAAATCTTTTCTAAACATCTATATGTCTACCAAAATAATAATACATAAACAAACAAACAAAAAAACAATAAAATAAATAATTTTAATACATATAAAAAAAAAAAAAAAACTTTTTTTTTTTAATTCACCTTATATAAAAAGTTTCAGTTAAAACCTTGTCAAGCCAACAGGAAGAAATAATAATTACTTAATGACGTAATTCATTTAGTAAACAAAAACTTAACGAAAAATCGCCAGAATTTTATTAAATGCATGAAAACAAATAAAAATATATACATATATTTATATATTATTTTTATCTTTTTATTTTATCATTAATTACAAAAATATACATGTGCATTATTGTTAGGTTTTTATTTTCTCATAAATAATTATAATAATAAATTATTATTAATAAAAAAAACCCCAATAAGATGACTAATTAGTTTGACTTTTTCAGCGCGTTTTTAAAATGCGTCATTTTTAATAAATGCAAATAAAATTGTGGCCATGTTATCAACAAAAAAATATAAATGCGTGGTCATTCAAGGCGTGCGACCGCACGCGTCTCCTGAGAAGGCCTGCACGTATATACATGTGGTTCTACAATTACAACCAATTTTTTTTAGGAAATTTAGTTTATTCAGCGCCAACAAGTGCAGGGAAGACACTTGTTGCAGAACTGCTTATGTTGAAGCGTGTTTTAAAGACAAGGAAAAAGGTTATTTATATACTTCCTTTTGTGAGTGTTGCCAGAGAAAAAGTTTACAGCTTACGGGTAAGTTTTGTAGGCAAGTTTTAAACTTAGTTACTATATATATATATGTATATATATATATATATATATATATATATATATATATATATATATATATATATATATATATATATATATATATATACATATACATATACATATATATATATATATATATATATATATATATATATATATATATATATATATATATATATATATATATATATATATATATATATATATATATATATATATATATATATATATGTATGCATGTAAACCTCTCGAAGCGTGTGCAATTGCACACCTTGTTTGAAGTAGTTTTTTTAGACACACACAAGTGTGCTTTTTTTAACTTATAAAGAAAATCATGGTTTCTTTTATAATGTATTTACCGCATTTGATGCATGTCTGAAGTTGTTTCTATTTTGTTTTATATTGCCCAATTTCTAATGTTAATATGAATTACTAGAGATAATGAACATAATGATTGCTCTGTTTGAAAATATATTTTTAAAAACTAAAAAAAAATATTTTAAACAGGCTCCTAAAAATTTTGTTAAAAAGTTCTGCAAATTAATAATGCACTAGCCCACAAGCTTTTGTAGCATTGTTAATAACAATAGTTCATTAGGAAATAAACTATTGGGTTTAAATTCACAATTTGAATAATCCAACAAAAGTGAAAACTCTTTCAATGGGGGAAGTGAAAACAACCAAGTCTTTTATATTTGGATATAAGTATTAATGACTTTTTATTTTTTTACGTGAAAAACTTGTTAAAATTTTTTTTTTCAACAAGTTTAAATTAATAGCAATTAGTTTTCTCACTTTCCTTTCCATTTATAAAAACAGATAACTTTAACATAAACATTTGAAAAACAAATTTAAAAAGTGTTGATGTTTCTAGCGCAAATAATAAATTTCTTTAATATACTGGCTGAAAAAAGACATGAAAAAATTGTATATCTAGGCTTGGTCGGAAAGCAGAAGCAATCACTCTCGAATACTGACCACGGAAATAGTATTTAGTTGCGAAAAACTGGCCAGGTTTTTTAGTCTTTTTGAGAACATTTAAGTTAATGTATGTAATAAAATATATTTTTTTTAGGGACAAACATGGAAACATATATAAACTTGAATGTTCTCAAAACATCTTGGTGCGCAAGAATAAAAAGAATATTCGCCAACACTAAAAACCTGCTAAATCTACAAACAAACTAATTCTATTGGTTCAACTAATTCTACTGGACTAAGCAAAACAAAGCCCTAGAGTATTCTATTAAAATGTTTTAAAAATTGTATTAATCACAATTTGTTGCGTTTTGAGATTTCTAGCATAAATTGTTTTAAGAATATATTATCAAATCAACGTTAATGCTATGGCTCATTCTCGGAGCCATATCTGCAAAGCCATAAATCTTTTAAACTATTATCATTTGTTTACAAAAATAAATGTTTTATAATATATTTTTTAAATTGTCAAAAATTTGAAAGTTTATTATAAATTATAGATTTTGTTAGTATATTCTTATTTTTTATTTCAAAAGTATGAATTTTTTATGTAAATGTAATTTTCTGTATCTGTTTTTTATTATAATGTAATCTTTTAAAGCAATTTTTATGATTTACTTTGTAAACAAAAAATTTCAAAAATAATTGCGTTTTCAATGAAGTTATTAATAATCATCAAAGTTAATAAAACTAATTATGAAATAAACATTAAGTTTCTGGTTACTAAACACAAACATGCATACAAAGTAACTCGCAGATGAACAAGCACCGCGCCTGAGGTCACGACTGAACACAAATATATATAGCAAATTATGAGATAAAGAAAAGTTTTTAGATATTGTTTTACTAAATCTAGTTATTTTCGCTTCAGTTGCCATTCTTAAAAACTCGTTGTACTTATTACTGATTTAAATACTAATTAAAATTGAAAAGCCCATTCACTAAACATCATTAACGATATTGTGAAGCAGTTTCGCTTCCTCGTCATAAAGTATTATTAACCTTTTTAGTTAATTTCTGTCTAGTTAATTTAATTTCTACAGTAACTCAATGATTTAATTATTTCATTTGTTCATCTTACTCAAAAGAATTGTTTTAAATATGTTAAACTTTTTAAACTACGCGAAGCATAAAATAGTTATTAAAAAAGTTAAATTTTTTATTTATAAAATAATTTAGCTTAAATAAAACTAAAAGTTGCGTTAGTTGTATTAGAATCTTGTTAGTCTTTTTGGGGCAGGGGGCTATTTTTAATTTGAAGGCCTTTTTATGTGCCACAGTGAAAAAATGACTAAAAAAAAGGTTCCTTAACATTGCAGGGCCCGGGCCTATAGCTTCCTCTAACCCTAACCCTCCGTAATCTAGCACTGGAAATAAGACACAAGTATATAAATAAAAAATAAATTACACTCTTTGCAAATTCTTAAAATGCTTACTATATAAAAACGTTCAAAAATAATGTCAAACTGATCAAATTCCATAGAAATCAGTATTGGCTGGGGTTCCTTTAGCCTTGATGGCCTCAATTAGACAATTTGGCACTGAGTTTACCAATTTTTGGGTCTCTTCTGCTATTATATTATCCCATGCGCTCATTATACAGGCTTGGACAGGAATAGCATGCGATCGCACTCTGTAACTGACCACGCTAATAGTTTTTTTTCTTTACAACTTGACCACGTCTATTTTGATGTTTTAACAATTTAAATGCAATAAAAAGTGTTGCGTTGTGAATAAACTTTAATCGTTGATCTTTTCTAAAGTTTTTATTTTAAGTGAAGGCTTTAAAATAAAACCATATAATTATTATTTTTTTTAATGATTGTTTACATAAACACGTGTGTAAATTATTAAAAAATGTTATATATTAACTTTTTTTATGTAGGGATGTATTTTTCATGATTAATTTAAACGTTTGAAACTATTTTCCCATGTCTTCCTAAACATTTTATAAAACATTAATTTTAAAAAAAATTTTTTTAAAGTTACTTTAATTTATGAATAATTTCAAAACCTTTTGCGACTACTAGCTTTTACACATTTATATTTAGCTTTTAAATGTGAATTATACAAGAATATAAAATAACTTTATTTACTTATATAAGCATGTATTTTGTAATGTTCATAAGAATAATTTTTATAATTAAACTAACAATTTTTTAAAATCTTTTAAAGACAAACATTTTATTTTTTGAAAAAAATGAATGAATGAATGAGAAAATAATTTATAATAATTTTTAAATTCGTTACATAAAGCGCTTATTAATAAAGTTGTAATCCTTAATTAAAATTAAAGTAAATTGCTTGTTGGCAGTTTATTTTATTTAAATCGCAGGCACATTTTATTTATTTATTTTTTCCTATTTATTACTAATAAAAGAGTTGGAAACCTTTTTTTTAAACTAAGTTAATTTTTTAAATAAATTTTTTTTTGGAACTTTTTTTGAAAAATGTTTACAATTTAAAAATGTTAAATACAATACTTTTTAATAAATTTGATAAAATTTAAAATTTTATTAAATTTAGTAATTTGCTACTTAATTTAAAAGCGTTTTGCGTAACTTTAATAAAATGTTTAAAAGATTTATTTCAAACGTAATTAGAAACGTACCAAAAAGTTTTGCTTCGAGTTTAGGTTTTTATTTTTAATTTTTATTTTAGTGCTTATATAATTTCTTTTTCGTAAATAAGTTTTTTTTGTTAGGAATTTTTTTTTCGTTAGTTTTTTTTAAACTTTTTTCCTAGTTTAAGTTTAACTTAGCGTTTCTACATTCAGCGCATTTAAAAAATTTTTAAATCATCAAAAAATATAAGCAATCGTGGTTGAGTTGTTAAGAAATAATATTATTTGTGTGGTCAGCAATAGCGCTCGATCGCACGCCATTCCTGTCCAAGCCAGATTATAACTTCTTTAAAATTGTCTTTGCGCCTAAATGCTCGGTCGCCAATTTTCCTATCCAAAATATAACACAAATTTTCTATTTGATTCAAGTCCAGACTTTAAGATAGCCGTTCCAAAACATTGATGCTATCTATGTCAAAGTATACCTTTGTTTTTTTAGCGGTATGTTTAGGTTAGGATTGTTATTCTACTGGAAATCGCCAATTTTTAAGAATTTGTTTGCAAGTTGGCTTGGAGAATTTCACAATACATTGAAGCATCCATTTAGTCATTAATAAATTTAAATTTCCCCACTACTTTTCAACTCATACTACCCCAAACTATCACATTTCCTCCTCCATGCATTACACTAACTTGCAAACAACTCAATTTATAAGTTTCTCCTTTTTTTCGCCACACCTCTTGAACTTCGTCCGATGAGACGAGATTGTATTTTGACTACAATTTTTACTACAAAATCTTATTCCAATATGATATCAGCATTTTTGAGTATTTTGATGCAAATTCCAGTCGACAATTCATTTGTTTAGAAGTCAAAAAAGGTTTATTTTGAACCACTCTATATCTTTCTATCGTTGTTCTCTTATACAATTTCTGATTGTCACTGTGATGTTATAATCTTGAATTTTCAAAGCTGATTTAGCTGCAAAAACAAATCTATTTTTTTTCACATTAATGATGACAATAATGATATTATGATCAATTGCACTAGTGATTTTGCGTTTTTGATCTCTAACAGCCACACTAGCAACGGTTCCAATCAAATAATGCTTCTTAAGAGTTGAAAAAAAGAAAGTAATGCTTTGACACAAACAACATTAATGTTTTGGAATGGCCATCTCAATGTCCAGACATGAATCTAATAGAAAATCAGTGGTATTTTCTGGACATAAAAATCGGCAAACAAGCATTTATTATGGGATAATATAACAGCAGAAGAGACCCAAACTTTGGCCAACTCAATGTCAAACCATCTAGATGAGGCCACCAAGGCTAAAAGAGGCCCCACTCGATACTAATTTCCATGGAGTTTAATCAATTAAACATTATTTTCGAATAGTAAGATTATTTTTTTTGCAGTCAATTTTATGCATTATTAGAT